TTTACAGCCCATATCAAACACCGCCCATCCTCTTTGAAGCTTATGTACACTATACTAAAGTCATATCTGGTTTTGTTGTTGCGTTCTTGCCCTGCGGTTGCTACATTTATGTGTGGAGCTTGTTGTGAACTTTGCCGTCCTTTCCTCTGCCCACTCTCCTGGCTCCATCTGTGGCTGTCCGCTGCAGTGTGACCGCGCGGAGGCCCAGGAGACGATGGATGTGTGCGCATGGCCCGGGGCGTAGGGGGCCTGATCTGCCGGGGAGGACATGCTACAATCTCAAGGGCACTCCGCAGGATGCCATGACTACATCTATAGACAGACATGACTGCATTTGAATAGGCAGTGTGGAAGTGACACATGATGATGGTACATACTCCGAAGGGCTTAAAAGTCCTATATTACACAAAGTCTATTCTTGTAAGATTTAAGCCATGTTATAATGCTGTTACCTCTACAAAAACATACCTGGAGTTGTGTTTTGGTTCATCCACACGTTTGAGTAACCCTTTATTATTAGTCTGTCTACATCTCCAAAGCTTTTTTTTTTTTTTTTTTTCAAATGAACAGCTACCTTTTACCTTTTCTTTAGTAGAGATTGGCATTTCCAGGGTTGAAATTATCCAAATGATTCTAGTGAAGGTGGAGTGAAAACATAGTGGCGTTTTTGTTGTTGTTTTGTTTTAGAGAAGAACTCAGCCTAAATATGCAGGATTTTTGTGTTCATAAATCATAAAATAGCTTAACATGGGCTCTTTAACTATAGTGAAGGTAGCATTGTAGCATAAGGAATGTAAATTATGAAGCATGGAGTGTTAAACGTAATGGTATGTGTAATGAAAAATGTGATTCATTTACAGGTAAGGTGGGTGAGGTGTCTTGCCAAGGACACACTGTATTAAAGCGCTGTACCTGTCTTAAAACTGTGGAAAAAAAAGAAGTAAAAAACAAAAACTGAACAACATTTAGATGGTTTGCAGTGGTTGAAAGTTATTCCTTACTTACCTTATGCATTCTGAGCAACATTATTTACAGCAATGGGTTTATAAGCGCATTTCAGTTTTCAGAGACCCAAGTGGAGTTTTGTCATCAAGGTAACGGTAAAAAAAAACTACTGCAATACCTTCCTGACAATTAAATGCAGACAGTACATATTAGGCACAAGTAATGAGCTTTGCATAAATAAAAATTATAACATTATGAAACTTTCTGGGGCAACTACCACTTATAATCTTATTACCAATACCAGATACCAGTATTGGATCGGTGCATGCCTTATTATGATACTATTGAGACCACAGAAAATTGCTTTATTTATCTGTTTAGTCTAATTTTATCTCTGGTTTGATCTGTTCACCAATAAATTAAACATGTCTCATGTCTAGTAAATAAATACAGACACAGAAAAATTGAGTTTGCTATCAAAAAAGAAAACCATAATCACCCCAATTCCGTTGTAATATCCAAGAGTATTATCACATTTTTCTAATATTGTAACAGCCTAACTGTCAGTGACACTTGACTGCACTTCCTGACATATCCATGCTATATGTGGCGGGAGCACCACCACCCACCCATCTATGGCTGCACAAATAATGAAAAATTGCATAAATAATATATGCAGAGGTGATAAGGGACTTGTCCTTTGTGCTGACGCCACTGTTTTTATAAGATCCTCCCATCTGTTGACGAGGTCTCTGGGGTAAAGGGGGCCAATCAAGATCTCTGTGACACATCTGCCTTCTAATCCACATTAACACTCTCACCATATACCTGTTATTTTCCCCTTGCTCCATTGTCTGCTCATCTCCTGCTTCATCTCACTGGGGGATTGCACGCTCTTGCCCACCAATTGAGGTCAAGAAGGACTAAAAATCCACACAACCCAAACCCCCCCGTCCCCTCTGCGTGATCGCCCTCCTACGTATTCGGCCGGTCAAAACGATGCTCTCTGCGGTCTCTAGGAGCTGGTACAAAGTGCTCTGCTCTCAGTGGCTGCTATTGCTGTAACTGCAACTATTACAGTTTTAGATCCTCTGAGGCATAGGTCAAACAATAGAAAAAACAGTAGAAAAACTGATGGTTTCAGCTATACTGTAGTAGCAGGCCTGTTCTGGATAATTATGTATTGAGAAGCTAATAATTAAAAATACTAACAGGCTATTTTTTCTCTATGAAAATTTCAAACACATCCACACAGTACTGTTTTTATTATAATTGTACTTTTAAGGAGCTTTTGTGGCTCAAAATATTGCACTAATTTGCTGAAGAAAAAAGGGCAACGAATAAAACTGTTTAAAAAAAGCAAAACAGAACTAAAAATCTGGTCTGCTTCTGAAGAAAATCATAATCACGATTCAAAATTAAAATCATGGTTTTTAGGAGAATAAAAATGATGCACTGTCAACCCAGGGTGGGAAACATCAAACATCAAGTCTTTTACTATGTTTTGTTATTCATGTTTTGAAATCCACAGTGGTTTGCTCCATGTTTTGAGGGGCAAAACCGGCACTTTATAATTCGTAAGAAAATTTCATTATTCTTTTTCCTATTACATTATTATTAGAATTGTTTCATTTAACTTGAGCAACAATTAAAACTCACTTAATTGGGCAGCCATAATGAAAACCTTAATTGGACTGGTTTAGAGAAAAATAAACTTTTTGTGTTTTTTGGTGTTTTTTGATCAAACTATTCCTCACTTTCCTCAAGACACCTTAATTATTCACCTTTCAGAAACCAAAGCATAGTTTTGCCGCCATACCTTTGCTAACAACAACTAGCGTGCAAACATCGCAGATCCTGGTTGACAGAAGATAAAAACAATGAATACTAGATGCAAACAGCACAAAGCGGGTTCATTATATCTGTACAGGAGATAAACAGATTTTACTTTATTAAATGAAAAAAAAAAAGTGTTACAGTCCCTTTAAAGTAACACTAACATCCCAGCTCATTATATGCAGCACAGCAAATCCACAGTTTCTCCCCTATATGAGTTGGTAAAGTGCTCTCCTGCGTCTCTGCCTTTGCTGTAAGTGTACCTCTCCCTGTTCTACCTCTGGATCAGTAAGAAACACAGAGTCCCCCACTGACTCTGTTTAGATTGTCCCCCGACTGATACCTGCTCCTGGAAACAGCTCCATAAACAGTATTTTATGTATCGTCCTATGAGTCTGACTGGCTGTTTACTATGCAGAGACTAGACCCTGGCTCAGTGTGAGGCTGCCACACAGCTACACAACCACAACGCTCGGAGAATATGCATGTGTAATAAAACTGGCCGTTAGCTGGACTATTTTTTCGCAGTGGTTTTGAATGAATACAAATTTAGTACATTTTATGCATCGTGTGTCATGGCGTGTTTTGAAGTAATACAGTCTCTGCTCTCCACTCCGCAGCAGGACAGTGATTTCAGGTCAAACAGCAGACTTTTATTCAGATATCCTTAACAATACATCCATACATTGTAAGGCTAGCTTTCAGAAACCATCGCATTCACTTTCGCAGTTATTTCTTAGACCCATCAACACAACAGTCAGTGGTGGAAAGTAACGCAGAACAAAAGTGAAAGTACAAAACTCAAGTACAATTATTAGGCATCTGTACATTACTTCAGTAGATTTTTACAGTGGATACTTTATACTTTTTCACTACATTTGAAAGCATGTTTATCTATACTGAAAAGTAAAAAGCACTTTTTTTATCGTTTGCTGAAATGGCTTTTTTGAGACTTTTTTTTTAGCATGTTTTAGCACATTTAATTTCTCAAAGTACATTTTAAAACATATACCTCACTTAAGTAGATTGTTTCATGTGATACTTGAGTAAACCTTTGCATCTGTATTTGCACTTTTACTTAAGTAACAAAAGTGAATACTTCATCTACCGCTGACAACAATACATCTATTCCATTGGTCACATCTGGTTAATGAAGTCAGTTAAAAGATTACATAATATGAATTTTACTATAAAAATGATGAATTTTGACCTATTCCAGATGCAACTAAGCAGATATCTTTCACAATTCATTCTGTGGACTTTGTAGAAATAATGGGACTGACAAATTTTATCACTCGATTTCAACCATGACATTTTAGTTTAAAAATGAGCCGTCTTCTTTATCAAACCAATCAAGATGTCATTGTAAAAATCATGAATCATCATGAATGTAAACTGACTTTGAACTGTGACAGAAGCCAGCCTTGATTTTAGCAATGTTGGAAGTACAATGGTGTTGATTAGCTTAGCATATTGTTAATAGTTATCTTACTGTGTGGGGAAAAATGCAACGTAACCTATCCAGTACCGTAGACAATTATTAGTGCTCTATAGCAGCGGTCCCCAACCTTTTTTTCTCATAAGGACCACTAAAAACATGCACTTTTTTACATATAGCAGCATAAAAACATAAAACCTTTAACCATAGTTTGAAAAAGAATGCCTGTATACTCATGTTTGCTGTTTACCAGGTTAATATGTGCTATATTTTCAGAGTAAAACACATAGATATGGTGGTAGACTATAAAAAAGATGTAAAACTCCAGTATAGTATCTCTATAGGATGACCACCTGTATATTTTGGTTGTCCCGGATATCAATTTTGGCCTCTGTCCCTTGTCCCACTTTCTTAGAGACCGTCCCATTTTTCATTGATGCGACATGAATTATAAAAATGTGATTTTTTTTTTTCCCCTCATAAACAAGACTTTTTCATTTTTGTGGCTTTCAGGGTTGTAATACATTGGCATTGTAATACATTTCTATTCCAATCTCTCTGTGCTTTACTACTGATAAAAAAATATGTTTAAAATGAGTCTGTGCCTCCATGTTCCACCACGTTATTGCATGTATTCAACGCGTCCCCCTCTTTTTGTACAATCTGCGATGGTCACCATAGAGCTCTACAGACTAATACAACTGGTTCATACAATACATGTCAATAATTATCTTCTCTTCTTTACTAATTAAAGCTCATGTAAAATGGATTTTTCACTCACCAATGAAGTAGGACAGTAGGATGGCCAGGAGGGCGGCTGCTGCGATGGCTGACACTGCGGCGCATTTCCAGCTGCAGTACTTGGACGGTTTCTTTAGTTTGAACGCCGATCGGGAGAAGGTGTTTCTAGGCAACAGGCGAGGGGGTGGAGAGTACACTGTCCCGGAGGTCAAAGGGTAACCGGGGGACGAACTGCTGAAGAGGGGTGTGGTCCCTGATGAAGTCTTGAACAAGAAGTGCCTGTAAAGAGAGAAGAAGTCAGCACATGAGTCAGTTGTAGAAGATTTATTTGTTGTTGACTTTTTTTTTTCTTCTTATTCACATGTAAATGTATTTGTATGTTACTCTATCTATATTGGTAGTATCTACATAAAAAATATTTTATGATTTAGGTTGACATTTTAAAATAAGTCTTGGAAGGTAACCATGAAAAGGGCAGTCCAATCGGTCATCTTCTGATCTCTTGCTTCTTCAGAAGATGTTATTGCTTTATTTTGAATGTTCCATAGGCTTTTACCCCCAAGCCAAGTTACATGCCAGATCTATGGAAAAGCAACAGCAGAAAACTTAAGCCCAATTTATGGTCAGGCGTCAAATCGTCAGAGAGTCTGCGTCGTTGTCAACCCTCTATGCAGAGCGTCTGCTTTGACTGACATGCACCTCTGAAATTTTCTAACTACGTATCAAAATGACACAGACAGCAGGGGGAAGCAATGCAGACAATAAGGGCTGTGATTGGTCCTCTCTACCACTGCTGTGCATACATTTCCTGTACGCCACTTTCCTGCTTCATTTTGTATACATGAACGCCAGTTTTAAAAACTAGCCTCCTTGCGTTGTGGCAGTGAATTACTTCGTGGCACTTAGACCTCAACGCAGATCCATAAATAAAAAACGACTGCGACAAGGTGATTGTGGCAGTGTGCTTTGAGTCGACACAGAGCTATAATTCGGCTTTAATTTAAGACACTTTTACATTTATATGTTTAGTGAAGTCAAGAACAAAAACAAAATCAGGTCAAAACTTGAAAAAAAAAAGAAAAAGCTTATCTATATAAAATAGTTTATGATATAAGTTGACATTCCAAAATAAGTCTTGGAAAAACTTGGGACGGTAAACATAAAAAGGACAATCCAATCTGCCGCCCAATCAGTCTGCACGGCCAGGTCACATATGGGCACGGCTCACTCCAATTTCTCTTTCGATGGACCCTTCCTGCCATATGGTTTTGAACATTCTTCAACTGATTGTGTCTCCAATTCGTTCCAGTCCAAGGCCTCTTTTTAACCTCCACCTGCTCTGGGCACCTCTTCTATATATATGTTTCTATCTTTTTATGCTTTTCCTCCACATTCACACCATCTCCTGTGCCCCCCACTCCTGAACTTGATGGCATTGAGGGATCGCTGCCATGGGTTCTTCCGGCCCCCACGTGGCCGCTGGGGTCAGAGCTCAGGAAGAGGATAAAAGGGGGATTTGAACCGTCATCCCGAGCCGGTATTACCCATTATGCTTTGCTATTCTGCACCTGCTCACCCAACAAGTCTCCTCTGCCCTCTATCCTCCATTTTTCCATTTACAGAGCTATCATTCCTTCCTGTCACGCTTCTCCATCCCTCCAAGAAGAAATTATATCGTTGAGTATGTGATGTTTTTTGGTCTAGTGTTTTGTTTTGTTTGTTTATTTATTGATCCTCACCCCTCCAATTATTCTCTTTAATAGCCTTTCTCTTAAAGCTTTACATTCAACAATAAAAGCTAATTATTTCCTCCAAATCATACCATTAGTAAAAGCAACATTTCAAGACCTCATGAAGTAGCATAGAAATGTTTCATATTAGATTTAGACAAACTTCAGTGATACATGAGAAAATTGTGTTATGCCAATAAATATGGTTCAATAAATCGGATATGTTTATAGTATATTAAATTTAATACAATTTAGAGTATATTGTATAATTGTGAATATGCAAAATGAAGCACAGCGGTCATTTGCTTGTAATTCACTTAAAAAGAAAGGAAGAAATTGGGGGTAATAGCGTATGCAAAAGCTGCCATTTTTCCGCCAACAGTGCAAAACATCGATAAGAAGCATTAGCCTAAAAACTATAAAAAGTTAACACAAGAGACGTGGAATAACCAGATAAAATGCTGGGTCACTGACGGTAAATACAATGAATACTAAGTTTAGTATTTAGCATTTTAAAATATCCTTTGAGAGAAGTGAAAAATTGGATGTGAATGAAATGGCCAATTTATAATATCCAATCTTTTCTTTTGATTATAGCTACACTCACTATCATTATTTCAAAAGAACTACTAACATAAACACACCCTCTATATACCCTCTACTTGATGTTTGCACAGATTTGTCCATTTCTCTCTATAGGACCTACACCAATTGTGGAACTGTTGCCCAAAAGGAAAAAAAGCAAAGAAATACAAGATCTTGAAAAACTTTCCAAGGACACAACAAGTCCGAGAATCGACTTTTGTTGCTCTTTTTGGCACCGTGCTCAGAGAAAGTACGTGGCTGCCCCTACACGACTCCAGGTGGTCGCACAGAAGAGGGCCCCGAGGCAGATCAGAGATACTGAGGTCACTCCTCTTTCTCCCTTCTTTCTCTACTATCCTTCTCCCTTGCTTGCTATTTCTCTCAATCGTTCTCTCTCTCTCTCTCTCTGCTGAAAAGGACAGCTACTTTTCGGCTCGTCTTCTTTGTCAGAGGAGCTGTTGTTTGCGAGCTGTGCAGGTGAGAATGCCCCGTGAAGGAGGTTGTCTGGGGCTGTTTTTGACCTTGAGATTGGAGAAGTTCAAATTCAGGAAGTTTTGAACATTCTGGAAAAAGCCAAATAGAATTGGTCAAAACTTTAAGAGAGTTATGGGAAGAATTTCATATTTTAAATTTTGTTTGGAAAAAAAAACAAAACAAAAACTTTAAATGTAGATTCAGAACACTTTTGTACAACACATCTTCACTCACTTGTAAGCAAATAAGTCTTGATGTACATCTGGTTTGATCCTGTGTGAGTCCTGGTTTAGTCCTGGTTTAGTATAAGGTTAACTGTTTAGTCCCTGTCTTAGTGTGTAAATAATGTACCTGAAAGAAAACTTATCTCTGTACTTCCAGTTTAAGTACACATCTGGGCACTTATGTATCGGCCGTTGCCTTGCAGATGTTTGTTTCAAGTTTTTTCTTCTTCTTCTTCTTAATTTTCAGCAATTATGTTAGTAATTTTGTGTATTTAGTTTTCACAGCCTTAAAAGGTGCACTGTGTAACTTTTCTGGGTCTGTCACCTGCTTGATTCCATAGAGATGTTAATGTTTTTCCCTGCAATGTATTACAGGTCAAATCTGTGGAGAAGAGTTGCTGTTTTTGTAGTTTTTTTGTAGTTTTGAGAAATAAAACCACCTGTAATTGAATAAATACAAGATATATTTATTTAATGCCATACTGTGGAACATCCCAGGCAAAGCGGTAACATCTCCATGGAGACCAGTTAATGGTAGACCCTCCATCAAGTTGCACTGAATGTCCATAGGTACTCATTCAGCTCATGTTTTTGCACCGTAATAAAACTCTTTGTCATATCTTAAATTAATGCAATTAAATCCAGCTAAGACATATGTAAACAAACATAAAATTTTCCCTGCTAAAAGTCGTTAATGTAGTGCCGTTAATCTGTGCATTCATCATTAACAAAGAACAAATATTGTGAATCATACACACAACTACATCTTTACGGGCTCATTAATTTTTTCAAATGTTTGCTCCTGCGATTTAAAGCGCATAATTTCTGAGCCATATGTTTTCTTTGTCTTTAAAGGGCCCATATTTTGCTATTTTCTGATCTGTTATAACGTTGTTGTTTCCTCATCACAAACAGACCTGGAGTTGTGTTTTGTTTCATTTACACATTTAACACACAAACTGCATATTTAGGAATTTAAGAGTTTTTTCTCTAAAACAGAAAACACTCTATTCCACCTAGTGATGTCATGCGGTAATACAGGACATGCTCCACTGTGGTTTCAAGGCTGATACACTGTCACTAGAATTATCTGGATGAGTTCACCCCTGGAATCACCAATCTGTACTGAACAAAAGGTAAAAGGTAGCTGTAAAGTGAAAACTACCACTTCATGACATCACAAGGTGTGCCCAGGACATGCAGACAGACTAATAAAAGAATAACTTAAAATATGTGTGAATGAATCAAAACACAACTCCAGGTATATTCCTGAGGAGATTATACGAACCTAACATCAAGTCGAGCCAATTTAGCGTAATAAATGACCTTTAAAGAGGAATTCACAATACGCAGTTGGCCTGTCCAAAGTACGCTGCTAGCTTAACCCACTCTGGAAGGATGACATGATTGGCTCCTGTCATATTAAATTAACATACATTTGGTTAATGCATGGTTATTTCGCCTCAGGGTTTTTACTATTTGTGCAGTGGAGTTCCCCAGGGCAACTCTGGCTGTGAGTAGAATCAGTGCAGTGGTCATGTGATTTCATCTCTGAACATACCGTCCCAGAGCACTTTAGACGGACAGTTGCATAGACCAGTGTGTCAATCTAAGCCTAGTATCTCCTCACATGTTTTTACTTTGTTTCAGAATGATTAAAAATTGGGATTGTTGCCATAGCAATTGACAATTTCAAACAAAATACCATCTTTTGAATGGTGAATAGTAAAGTTGTTAAGAATATTGCATATAACAGGAAATTCAAGAATATCAGATAAAGTAAGTAAGTGCTTTTACATTTTTTTTATTTACTTATTTTTTCCTTGAAGCATTTGGATCATTTCAGCCCTGGAAATGACCATCTCTACTGATCTAAAGTTAAAAGATAGCTGTTAACTTGAAAGCTACCACATCACAAGGTGGAACAGAGCATTTTGAGCGTTGATGATTTGGTCATGCATACAGACTAACAATAAAGGAATACGCAAACATGTGTGAATGAAACAAAACACAACTCAAGGTATGTTTTTCATGAGGTAACAGCATGGCTTAAAGCTCACAAGAGTCAGTTTTGCAAACAAAGCTCTTAGACATTCAATCTTATACTTGCACATGCATCGCGACAGTTTCTAGGCTTTACTCTGGCTCTTATGCATTAAGGAGTTCCCTAATTTCTCAAATGCGTGTTTATACATCTGTCCACTTATATAAAACCAGCTGCCATACTCAGAGCAGGAAAGGACTCAGTTTGGGAGCACTCTCTATC